TTATTCTGGAGGTTAGGGCATTCAATCAGAAGTATTTAAGCAGAAAAAAGTGGCCTAAATATAAGTTCTGAAACAATAAATTACATAGAATAAATATATTACTAAACTTATGGAGCTTGGTCTTAGAGAAGATGTAATAAATCTGACCTCAAAAGCAAGGGAAGTAAAGGCGACAATAAATGAATGGTACTATATCAAACTTAAAAACTTCCACACAGCAGAATAAACCACTAACATAACAAAACGGCAACCAACTCAGTGGGAAAAGATGTTTGCAAACAAAGCTCCGAGAATACCCAAAATATATTAAGAACTCATACAATAAACAATCCAATTTAAAAATGGGCAGAGGACCTGAACAAGTACTTTCCTCAAGAAGACATAAAATGGCCTACAGATATATGAAAACATGCTAAATTTCACTACTTACTAGGAGAATGCAAATCAAGACTATAATGAGTTACCACCTCATACCTGTTAGTAGCAACAAGACAAGAATTAACAGGGGTTATTACTACTTAAAAAAGTTGCAGAGAAAAAGGAACCTTCATTTATTGCTGGTAGAAATGTAAACAGGTATAGCCACTATGGAAAACAGTATGGAGGTACCTCAAAAAATTAGTAATAGAGCTTCTGTATAATCAAGCAACCACTTCTTTGGGTATAACCCCCAAATTTCAACAAAAATTTATTTACAAAGATATATACGCCTTATGTTAATTGAAAAATTAATTCATGTTGGCCAAGACATGGGAACAACCAAAGTGTCCTTCAATAGATGATTGGATAAAAAAGATGTAGTATGTATGTATATACAATGGAATACTACTCAGCCATAAGAAAACATGAAATACTATTATTTGTGACAACATGAATGGACCTTGATAATATCATGCTAAGTGAAGTAAGTCAGTCAGCAAAAGCTAAGAACATATGATCTCACTCATATAGAATATAAAACTAAAACTCATTGACACAGATGTCTATAGTATTGTGGTTACCACAGGATAAGTGCTGGGGAATTAGTAAAGGGCAGAATGCCAAAAGATGATTTGACTTGGAGTGGTAGGCAATATATAGAGCATGTACCATAGAAATATACAGCTGAAATCTACATAATCTTATTAATCATTGTCACCCCCAATATATTTAATTTAAAAAAAGGAAAAGTGGCCAAATTATATCCCTGTCATAGTAAGATAACTCTGGAAGCAGTGTAGAGGGTCTATTTAGGAAAAATCTTACCAAGTTCAGACATGCCTAAGCAAACATATCCTGAAGACAGGTTTGAATGGATGTTACTAAACACCAGAAGAATATAGGATAAGATTACATAGTGACCTGAAAGTTTAACTTAGCACATCAAGATATTTAAATAGTGCCTTGGAGGCTTATAGTTCTCTAAATTTTATCCAATAAAATGTATTTATTAGAAGATCTGAAACAAAGGTCAGGTTTAGAAACAAATTACACATAAATCCTACTTGGGAAATGAAATATACAGAGAGAGTAATTAAACACACACAAAAATTGAATAATTATAGGATTATAAACCTATAATTTCTCAGTAGTGTAGGCAATCTTATCTGTTGCATTGCATACCCATTAAAAAGAATTATTTTAATATAAGATAAAATATTAGACTTATAAATTAAAGTAATCCCAATGGTTTTAAAAAACTTTTTTCTTAGGTTATGTTGAGAATAACAAGGTGTTGACTATACACATGGAAACATTTTTTTAACAATCATCATAAATAATTCTTATACTTTGATTTTAATGCAAATGTGACATCAAGTCCAAGATACCTTTATGTGGGGCAATAAATAATACTACTTAACCTGACTTGTCATCTCCCCTATAATCATATATCTTCTTTCTTTTTTTTTTTAATATATTTTATTGATTTTTTACAGAGAGGAAGGGAGAGATATAGAGAGCTAGAAACATCGATGAGAGAGAAACATCAACCAGCTGCCTCTTGCACACCCCCTACTGGGGATGTGCTCGCAACCCAGGTACATTCCCTTGACCGGAATAGAACCTGGGACCTTTCAGTCCCCAGACCGACGCTCTACCACTGAGCCAAACCGGTTTCGGCCATATATCTTCTTAAAAGAATGTATCTAAGTGTGTGTGTATATGTGCATTTAAATTTAGGTGTATGAAGTAAGAATAAAACTATGCTTAAACTACTGATATGAATCATTTTATTGGTCTTTACAGATACTGTGTTTTACAATTTGAAGATTTGGGGCAACCCTGTGTTGAGCAAGTCTATCGTAATCATTTTTCAACAGCATGTGCTCACTTTGTGTCTATGTGTCATATTTTGATAATTCTTACAATAATTCAAACTTTTTCATTATTATATTTGTTATGGTGATTTTTGACCAGTGATCTTCAATGTCACTATTGTAATTTTTGAGGCACCACATAAGATAGCAAACTTAATAAATAAATAATGTGTGTGTGTTCTGATTGCTCCACTGACTAGCATTCCCCCTTCTCTCTTTCATTCTTTACTCAGGCCTCTTTATTTCATGAGATACAACAATAATGAAATGAGGACAATTAATAACCATGCAATGGCCTCTAACTGCACAAGTAAGAGGGAGAGTTCTACATCTCTCACTTATCAAAAGCTAGAAATGATTAAGCTCAGTAAGAAAGGCATGTCGAAGGCTGAGAAAGCCCAAAAACTAGGGCTGCTGCATTGAATGGTTAGCTAAGTTTTTAATGCAAAGGAAAAGTTATTGAGTAAACTAAAAATGCTATTTCAGTGAACACATGAATGATAACGAAGGAAAATGGTTTTGTTGCTGATATGGAGAAAAGTTTAGTGATCTGGAGAAAGCCACAACCTATTTTTAAGCCAAAACTCTAATCCAGAGCAAGGCCCTAATTCTCTTTAATTCTATGAAGTTTGGGACAAGAGAGATAGTTGCAAAAGAAAAGCTTGAAACAAGCAGAAGTTGGTTCATGAGGTTTAAGAAAATAACCCACACCCATTACACAAAAGTACAAAGTGAAGCAGCAAGTATAGGTGTATAAGCTGCAATAAGTTATCTAGAAAATCTAGCTAAGATAACCAATGAAGGTGCCTACATTAACATATTTTTCAATGTAGACAAAATATCCTTATATTGGAAGAAAATATCATCTAGGATTTTCATAGCTAGAAAGGAGAAGTCAATGCCTAGCTTCAAAGCTTCAAATGACAGACTGACTCTGTTGTTAGGGGCTAATGCAGATGTTGACTGTAAGTCGAAGCCCTTTTATCATTTTGAAAATCCTAGGGCCCTTAAAAGTCATGCTAATCTACTCTGCCTATGCTCTATAAATACATCAACAAAGCCTGGATAACAGCACATTGGTGTATAACATTGTTTACTGAATATATTAAATCCACTGTCCATACCTACTATGCAGAATTTATTTTTCTTTCAAAATATTGTTGCTCAATGAAATGCAACTGGTTACCCAATAACTTATTGTAGATGGAGATGTATAAGATTCATGCTGTTTTCACCCCTGTTAAACCAACATTTGATTTGCAGTCCATGGACCGAAGAATAATTTTTACTTTGAAATCTTCTAATTTAAAAAATACATATATTTCATAAGGTTATAGCTGCCACAGAGTGATTTCTCTAATGGGTCTTGGAAAACTCAATAGGAAACCCTCTGGAAAAGATTCACCATTCTAGATGTCATTAAGAATATCTGTGATTCATGGGAAGAGGTCTAAATATCAGCATTAACACAAATTTGGAAGAAGTTGATTACAATCCTCATGAATGACTTTGTGGGGTTCAAGACTTCAGTGGAGTAAGTTGCTGCAGATATGGTAGAAAAGGCAAGAAAAGTAGAAGTAAAACCTAAAGATATGACTGAATCTATGCAATCTCATGAAAAAAAGAACTTTAATAAACAAGGATTTGCTTTTTATGGATGAGCAAAGAAAGTGGTTTCTTGTGATGGAATCTACTCCTGGTGAAATGCTGTAAGTGTTGTTGAAATAGCAACGAAAGATTTAGAAAGTACATAAACTTACTTGATAAAGCAACAGCAGGTTTTGAGAGGATTAATTTAAATTTTGAAAGAAGTTCCACTATTTAGTAATACTACAAAAAAAGCATCACATGCTAAAAGAAATTGTTTGTGAAAGAAAAGGTCAACCAGTGCATAAAAAATATCACTGCTGTCTTATTTTAAGAAATTACCACAACCTCCAGCCTTCAGCACTCACCACCCTGATCAGTCAGAAGCCATCAACAATGAGGCAAAAAGATTAGAACTCACTGAAGGCTCAGAAGATAGTTGGCATTTTTTTTTTTTTTACATAATGCTATTATACACTTAGTAGACTGCAGTATAATGTAAATATAACATTTATATGCACTGGATATGAAAAAAAATGTGTAACTTGGTTTATTGAGATATGCAGTGGTCTGACACTGCATTTGCAATATCTCCAAGATATGACTTACTGTGTATTTTTACTGAAATGAGTCAATTGTATTTTCTCTCTTGAGAATTACTAGGAATCAGATTTAATGATGCTTAGTCAGTTTTATTATCAAAATTTTGTAATTCCAGAAACCAACAAATTTAAGAAATAAGTCATGAAGTTTCTCTGTTTATAATCTAAATATTATAGGTGAGTTCTGAAATATCTAACTTATCCTTAGTACTTACTACTATCAACACAAATCTATGTGTTTTTTTAATATATTAACTAATGCATTTTTATATCTTAATTCCACCAACATTCTCTACATATTATTATAGGCCTGTTTAAATGAGAAAAACTGAGGCATAAATACAATATTAATATATATATATTGTAAAATTACCTTATTTAAGAAATGGGTAAATTTGGTTAAATTAAACTTAGAAAATGAATGTGGTATCAAAAAGAAAATGTTAAGTGCATTTAAATTTTCATACTATTTTCAGCACATTAATTTTGATTTAAGACCTTTTCCATTCTTTACCTTTAATCTCTTTGTCGTTTTTGAACCATCTTATATCAGCTGCAGGTTTACTACCAGATGTTTTACATGTCAGCTGCATCAAGTCTCCCTCCATAACTGGTGATGAAAATCCGCTAATTTGAGGCTTTTCAGGAACACCTGAAGTATAAACAAATGAAACATCCATCATTGGGGTTGGTTCATTCTTGTTACTATTATTTCTACAAACAAAAGTAAATTGGCAATAAGTTCATCAAGAATAATAAGCAACTGTATGATATATAAATATAGATAAATGTTGTTATCCTGAAAAAACTCCATTTTAGTGGTTATGTTATATCCTAAATGGCAAACTTGTAAATATTTTTGATAAAATAGTCTCAATGGGACTTAGAAAGAAGCAGGTTTCTTATCCTATGTACAAAACCAATTCACTAGCTGAATTAACTTTTAATATTCCCACCCAACAGAACAACATGTATTAGTTCTTTTAAATGCCATGTCAGGCTTTATGTATGAAAAAAGGAAGGCAAGATAGGGACAAAAATATCCATCTTGAAATCCCTCTAAGTTGTTCAGAACACAGGTGTGTTTCAATAAACTGCAGCAATTTCAGCTGTTGGGCCACTGACGTTTGTGGAATCACAGAGAGCTCTGAGATGCAACTATATTTCCTCTGAAACTCTATGAATGCATTGCTTTTTTTATGTCACTCTAACCTTTCGAAAAAATGGCTCAAAAGTCAAAACTGGTTTGGCTCAGTGGTAGAGCGTCGGTCTACTGACTAAAGTTCCCAGATTCAATTCTGGTCAAGGGTATTTACATTGGTTGTGGGCACATCCCGGGTAGGGGGTGTGCAGCTGGTTGATGTTTCTCTCTCATCAATGTTTCTAGCTCTCTATCCCTCTCCCTTCCTCTCTGTAAAAATCCATAAAATATATTTTTTAAATGGCTCAATATTTAGAGAATAGAAGCACAGATAAGTTACAAGCTGCATGCACAAGTGACATTTTGCATTTCATTTAGGAATCTAAAAAACTACAGATTTAAAAAGTGAGAAGACACATGGAAATGTCAGCTATTTCAATGCACTGAAATACATAATGGGGTTAAATCTGAAAGCTATAACATATTAGAGAAAGCCATCTCAAATGACCGATATGATAAAATGAAGGAGCACCCTATAAACATATTAAATTCATTATGCTCATTATTCTATCACTTATGAAAGGATCACCACCTATACAATATATAGATGAGTTGCTACAAAGGAATTTAATTGAAAATCAAGAAACCTGGTGTCTACTGATGGCTAAGAAATAAATGGGTATGTGCTTTTAGAAGTCATAAAAATCTTTCTACCTCCCTTTGTCTAAAAAATGAGAAGTGTGATTTTTAAACAACTTTTGTTAAAATGTCATAGAAGTGAGATGAAACTGCATCTATTATTATGATAATTATAATATATACCTGGCATGTGTTGTAGTACTGACTTGCGTGGCTTAGTTGGTTAAACGTTGTCCCATGTCCCTCAAAATTGCTGGTTTGATTCCCAGTTAGGGCACATGCCCAGGTTTCCAGCTTGATCCCCAACAGGCCGCAGGAAGTAACTGATTGATGTTTCTCTGTCATATTGATGTTTTTCTCTCTCTCTTAAATCAACTGTGTGTGTGTGTGTGTGTGTGTGTGTGGGCGTGTGTGTGTGTGTGTGTGTGTGTGTGTGATAGTATTTTACAAGTACAAATCTCTCAGTCTTGTGAATACATTGTGTTTGTTCCTTGAACTTACCCAGAACAGTAAGATAGGCCTTGGAAGTCTTGACAGGCATTGTAAATAAAGAACAAGTGTACTGTCCTTCATCGGAGAGAGACACATCACTGACGCTGATACTCAGTTCATGCCAAGAAGCCCGAACCAGCTCAATCCTATTGTCCCTTAAAGCTGGAAAGAGAAAGTATTAAAAATATAAAATGGCAATATTATAAAAAGTCAGTACTGTTAGGCTGAATATTTTCAGCACTACATAATACACACTTCTTTGGCTGCACATCTAAATATTTACTGAAACAGTTTACAGGGCAGTTTATACTGAAATATTGTATCAGATTTAAAAATTAAAAGTAGAATTAACTGCTCCTTAAGGTTCTCAGAAATAACTTTTTATTTAAATGATTGTATTTAATACATTACTTCGGATGCGGTAGATTATATTGATATAAGTGGCTTTCCTCCACAAAGTCTTTCATGAAATGCTAATGCCAAAAACAAACAAACAAACAAACAAACAAACAAAAACCTATAGCCCTAATTGGTTTGGCTCAGTAGACAGAGTGTCAGCCTGTGGACTGAAGAGTCCCAGGTTCAGTTCTGGCCAAGGGCATGTACCTTGGTTGCAGGCACATCCCAGTAGGGGTGGGGGAGGTGTTCAGGAGGCAGCTGATCAATGTCTCTAACTCTCTATCCCTCTTCCTTCTTCTCTGTTAAAAATAGATAAAATATATTTTTTTAAAAAAGAAAAACTATGAACAAAAGGACTCGCTTCTATGGACAGATAAATTTGGGAAAACTATGGCTGCTGCATTTCTTCCAAGAAACTAACAGTGAACATTAGCATATTAAAAGCTCTCCACAGTACAGATGCCTGTTAAAGTTCATTTAAACCAGAACTGACATTCAGCTGGAAAGCTCCTGTAAGGTACCAGATGTTAAAATCTCTTCTGATTCATTGGTACCTCTGCTGTACTGTCTGTTAATTATTTTTTATATATTCATTAGATCAAGCCACCTATTCTGATACAGAACACTTGTTTTCACAGAAATCATACTTCTCTTCACTCATTTTATAAGAAATGATTAAAAAGTTTAAACATCATTATATATCTCACCAGCTACAGTTATACAACCTGGGATTAAGCAAGAGACATTGATGAATTACTTTAAAAGGTAGAAAGAGAAAGGAGAGCCGTTAGGAACATCAGGTCCTAAGGAACAACATGGAGGCAAATAACAGTTAAAGGCAATGAAGACCTGGCTTTTGCCAACAACAACCTCACAGCACATGTTAGGTAGACTAATTTTTAGTGCTAAGCAAATTGAAGTTCCAACAGCAACATCACAAGTAAGGAGGATCAAGAGAGAGCATCAGTGACAAGTGTCCATGGGAAGTGAAATATATCCCTAATGGTCTGTGGACTCCTTTCCCTACAAAGAGAAAGCAGCTGATTGGAAACAAGGGCAGCAGGGCAGCCCCTGAAGTAACCAGCTTTAAATGTGATCTCTCAATAAGCTACAGGACTATTGACCACACTTAGATCAACCAGACAGCCTGGACTGAGGGAGCAAATCTGCCCACTTTGGTGGCATCTGTAGACATCTGGTGCAATTTCCAGTGGAACTAGACCACTCAAGCTGACCAAATAGAACTACCAAGGTTCTGACAAATTTGTGTAACCATAGCCTGCAAAAGTACTCGAGGGTATGTGTACTAAACCTAATTAGGATGACTGCCTCATAGAAAAGGGAGTTTAAATGGAGTTCAGAATCCTCTAACTTAATATACAAAGTGTCTAGAATGTAACGATTATGATATTTATGCTGCTGCTGCTAAGACTTTGGCCACACCAAATGCCCCAAAATCATAACTTGAATAAGAGAACATGATCAACAGATGTCAATACTGAGTTGAAATACATGTTGAAATTATCTAACAAAGAATTTTAAAAGATATTTTATTAAAATAATTTAACAAGTAATAAGCTTCTTCAAATATATATTTAAAATATTAGCAAAGAAAAATAAGTTATAAAAATGAACCAAATGAAGGGGAAGAACCAAGATAGTGGAATATTTAAAACAGTATTTGATAAAAAACCATTGGAGATTATGGCTGGGGAAGATGGAGACTGCTGGAGTTCTAGGTGTTCCTCTTAAAGGGCCAGTACAAGGATTTACTCAGACTCATTCTTTCTGAATTCCAGCATTGGTTCAGTAGCTCTTGGGGATCCAGGAACATATGGGATGGATGTGGATTACTGATATTGCAGCAAGAACTTGGGAGTGGCTTTCTCCTATACAGGAATGCTTACAGTGGTCATTGTTCCTATGCTGAGACCTCTCATTTCACAGAGTTGACTGGCAGGGGCCAAATCTGAGTCTCCATAACTTAGCTTAAACTATTCACTTCACCCTGGTGATCCCTTGAGACCATCCCCCCTACCCAATTTGTAGCCTCACCTAAGCTTTTTGCAGGGTCTTTCCATATGAATGACCTGTCCTGATTGAGTTCAGACTTTCTTAAAATCTCTCAAACAAATAACCCCATACCATTCAATAAGAGGACTCAGGCCTGGAACTAGCAGAAGCCTGCATCATTTCACAGTCTGGCTTCTCCTGGGCACTTTAAAGACCAACACAAGTAGTAGCCATCTGCAGATCGGTCACTCTGTAGCTCCTGACCAGTGACCCCTGGCAGAACATGGGCAGTAGCTGAATTTGCACCACCAGGGGGGCTCCACAGCAAATTCACCTGGCAGACAGTTTCAGAACATGTTTGATTACAATTTTACACATCCACAAGCAACACATTCAAGGAGTAGACTCAGTGAGCACCAAAGCCCACTGAAGCAAGTCCTGTTTCAGAGAGTATCTCCTGCACAGCAGTTTTTCCACTGTGGTCACATCTGGTACTCACAGCCAAATGACCCAAGGTTAATTACTCAAAGTGACACCAACAGCAATCAAGGCTCAACTATAATAAGACAGTGCATACGGACTACACAAGTTACTGAGAAGGCTGAGCCGCAAGGTCCCAAAGGACTTACTACACAAGGCCATTCTACCAATTCTAGGAGACATATCAGCTCTGCCTAATACATAGAAACAAACACAGGGAAGGAGCCAAATGCAGAGAGAAAACAAACAAACAAACAAAACATGTCACAAATAAAAGGACAAGATAAATCTCCAGGGAAAATAAACAAACATAACCTAACTGAAATGGAAGTAATCAAACTCTAGATACAGAGCTTAAAATAATGGTTATAAGAATGCTCAAGGATCATAGTGAGAGCTCTAAGAGACTTAGTGAGAATTCCCAAGATCTTAATGAGAATTTCAAAAAAAAAATTAGTGAAAATGTCAAAGACATGAAAAGGGACCAGTCAGAAATGAAGGATACTCTAACTGAAAAGAAAATAACCTTGTGGGAATCAACAATGGAGAAGAGGATGCCAAGAATAAAATCAGCAATTTGGGATATGAAAAAGCAAATACACCCAATCAGAAGAGCAACAACAACAACAACAACAACAAAAGAATCTAAAATATGAAGATAGTATAAGGAATCTCTAAGATACCAATGTTCACATCATGTGGGTGCCAAAAAGAGAAGATAAAGAGCAAGATATTGAAAACCTACTTGAAGAAATAATGACAGAAAACTTCCCCTACACTGTGAAAGAAATAAACTTACAAGTTCCGGAAGCAAGAGAAACCCAAAGAGACTGACACCAAGAAATAATAATTAAAATCCAAGGTTAAAGACCAAAAAAAAATTAATAATATTTTATTGATTTTTTTTTTTTTACAAGGAGGAAGGGAGAGGGATAGACAGCTAGAAACATCGATGAGAGAGAAACATCAACCAGCTACCTCCTGCATACCCCCTACTGGGGATGTGCCCACAACCAATGTACATGCCCTTGACTGGAATCGAACTTGAGACCTTTCAATCCACAGACCAACATTCTATCCACTGAGCCAAACCAGTTTTGGCTAAAGACAAGATTTTAAAAGCAACAAGAGAAACCATTCAGTTACCTACAAGGGAGCACCAAAATGACTGTCAAATGATTTCTCAACAGAAACTTTTCAGGCCAGAAGAAAGTGGCAAGCAATTTTCAAAATGATGAATAGCAAGGACCGACCTACAACCAATATTTCTACTCAGCAAAACTATCACTTAGAATTGAAAGTCAGATAAAGAGCTTCACAAAGAAGAAAAAGCTGAAGTAGTCAATTATCACCAAACCAGTATCACATGAAATGTTGGAGGGAAAGAAGAAGAAGGAGGAGGAGGAGGAGGAGGAGGAGGAGGAGGAGGAGAAGAGAAGAAGAGAAATATGAACAAAAATATGTCAATAAATGTATATCTTTCAACAATTGAATCTAAAACTCCAAATAAATGAACAAGGAATTTAATGAACAAAATGAACTGATGAATAAAATAGAACCAGACACATAAAACAGACTGACAAATTTCAGAGGAAAGGTGGGGAGTAATTAACCAATTAACTTAAACGTATTTATGCATTGCGTATGGACACAAACAATAGGGTGATGAAGACCAGGGGTTGAGCAGTAATCATATAGAGGGGGCAATGGAGAAAAAAGGAAGACATCTGTAATACTCTCAACAATATTTTTTTAAAGAACTAAATGAAAATTATAGAAATCAAAACATAGTGACCAAACTCACTGGTTTGGCTCAGAAGTACAATGGAAATGACAAAGGAGAGAATCAGTGAACTGAAGAACAGAATAATAGAATTTTCTCACGCAAAACAAAAGAGAAAAGTAAATTTTTAAAAATAGCAGAGCCTTAGAGACATTTGGGGCAATAACAAAATGTTCAACATTTGTATCATAAGAGGTCTAAGAGAGTTGGGTTTAATCAGTATTTGAGGAAATAATAGTTGAAAACTTTGCAAATTTGGCAAAAGAGATAAATGTAGAGAATAAAAAAAAAGAAACAACTATCAAAGAGGATAAACCTGAAGATCAAATGACTGAAATTCAGACAAAGAAAAAAAAGTCTGGAAAGCAGCCAGAGATAAAGACATGTTACTTATAGGAGAACACCAATTCAAATGACAATAGATTTCTTATTTGAAATCATGGAGGGAAGAAAGAGCAGAGCAATTTTTCAAAGGAACTGTCAATGA